AATATAAAGAAATGGCAACAAAAATGATAACATTTTATTACAAATTTTACCATAGAAAATTCGTGACGTAGTCAATTTAATTGGCAGTCGATTAGAAGTCTGTGGTTAGTACGTGGGAGTCTGTGTATTTCGCTACGGACTGTAATTAGCTCCTTTTTAGTCCGTGACTCGCCGTGCGTATTGCACCCTCACCGTCATTAGTCCATGTTTTATCCGTTTATTCCAGTTCATAGTGCATACTCACTTCGATGCAGGTTATGTGCACACTTGCTGCGTCACGGTGTTTTAGATAGATAGATAAGTAGATGGGTCAACGGCAATCTTCTTTATTTTAGAAAGCGAAAAGGACGAAAAAAATGTACGCGACGACTGGGGAATTTTACAGCAAGGAAAAGTACAAGTCGACAGACAAAGCGATAAAGATATTCAAAGACGACAAACTTCTATGCGAACCAGGTTGTCTTTCTCTCGCAAATTCTAATTTAGTTTCGTTTTCCTAATTTAGTTCGTCTGACGTCAGACGAATCACCCCACATACCCATGTTTGAATCTGGCGCTCAGTCAGTGGCAGATCTAGAGGGTGGTTAGGGGGTTGCAACACCCCCCGCCCCTGTTCAGCCACTGACTAATGTTATGATACTAGTAAAATGGGGCCAAAAATAAAAAAGTCGGTCTGCAGGCTGATAGAAACTAGGGATTTCCCCTGTGACTACAAAGCTGCCTGAGTTTTCAAGGTGGGAGGGGGGCATGCCCCCGGACCACCCTAGCACCGCGTGCCTTCGGCACGCCTTTACTGAAATAACAACCCCTTCTGTCTCCTATCAAGTTCCTTCTGAAAGCTAGATCTGCCCCTGTCAGTAGGACTGTAGGGCCGTAGGCTGAGCAAATACCTAAGGCATGTAAGGGGGCAGTAGCGGATCCATGATTTAAATGAGGGGGTGAGAAACAGGATGGGGGGTCAGGGGGTCCTCCCGCCAGAAAATTGTATATAGTTATTGTGATCGTGAGCCGCGATCGATAAGTGCACGTGTGCGTTTTGTCTGCCTCAATGACGTCACAGTGGTTTCAATTTTTTCTTCATGTTGTATGCATTGTTTTGTACTGTATTACTCAGAAAATCTACACTATAAACGTAACAAACGTAACAAACGTAAACTCAACACTATAAACGTAACATAATAATTTTTAGTAGTATAATAGTACCATTTTTGTCGGATAGGTGGCAGCATCCAGCATAAATATTTGGAAGATCTGCATGATCTTGAGGAAACTATAGTCTATATCAGTATATGACTACTCTATAGTATAATATCAGGATAATATGTATTAATATTATAATATCATTCAGTTCAATTTCAATTCAAACACTATCATGATAATTATACAGAAATCTGTGCATCACCTCGTGATAAGGGGACTCATAGCATGAGTAGGCATTACGCACTACGCATTACCGCACTACTAGTGCTACGACTAGTAACTGAGTTGTACTAGTAGTAGGCCTAGTAGTAGTAGTACTAGTACTAGTACTGTAGCAGTGCCAGTACTGCAGTAGTACTATTTCAATGGCAATGATTCTGAATAGCACGATGTCGATGTTGAGACAGGTCAGAGCACTAAAATCATTCGGGAGGTCGTGTATTAGTTCTGTACCTAAACAAATCCTGACAGGCCAGAACAATACCAAGTACCAGTCGATTCGTTTGGTAAGGCTAGGCGTGGGCCATGGTCGTATGTTACCACGCCCACTATATTTAGTTGGAGCTGGAATAGCAGCTGCGAGTGTAACCGTGTATTGGCAATGTGTTCGCGACAAGACGAACACACTTTGTGAGGCCAAGCACATGAATAATGAGGCTGTCGAGGAAGAGCCCGAAATTCCCAGAAGTGCAGGACTAAGATTGGCAGAGGCAGTCGAGAAGTCCAAAGATATAGCGAGGCGTATAAAGGTACGGTAACTGTAACTTGTAGCGTGTGCCATAATTGTCAATTCCCTGTAAGTAAACAATGTCTCAGCTGTTTCTTTGCCAGCTCTTTCCATAATCATCCTCTTTGCAAGCTGTATAATTGCATGTTGAAGAGGATTCAAGGACTACTACCCCCTGGACAACTACCCCCCGGAAAACTACCACCCGGACAATTACACCCTAGGGCAACTACCCCTCTAGGACAACTACCACCCGGACAATTACCCACCTAGGACAATTACCCCCTAGGACAACTACCACCCTAGGACAATTATCCCCCTAGGACAACTACCCCCTAGGGCATCTACCCCCTGGACAACTACCCCTAGGACAATTACCCCCTAGGACAACTACCCCCTGGACAACTACCCCCCGGACAACTATCACCCGGACAATTATGCCCCCCCTAAAACAACTCGCACCCGGACAATTACCCCCTAGGACAACTCCCACCCGAACACCTGGCCCCTAGGACAATAACCCCCCTAGGACAACTACCACCCAGTCAACTATCCCCCTAGGACAACTACCACCCGGACAACTACCCCCTAAGACAATATACCCCCTAGGACAATTACCACCCGGACAATTACCCTCCTAGGACAATTACCCCCCTAGGACAACTACCACCCGAACAACTACCCCCTAGGACAATTACCCCCTAGGACAACTACCCCCTGGACAATTACGCCCCCCCCCCAGGACAACTCCCACCCGGACAACTGCCAACCGGACAACTACCCCCCTAGGACAACTACCACCCGGACAACTGCCAACCGGACAACTACCACCCGGACAACTGCCAACCGGACAACTACCACTCG